TCCCTGACTGCAGCCTCTGCTTCTTCCCCAGGCAGCCTCAGTTTACGCAGTTCTGCTATTAAATATTTAGGATAAACATTTCCGTGAACGATAAGGCTGCAGCATCCAAAGTAAATAAATTGCCTACCAAAGGGCCACTGTGACAGTGGGAATTTGTCTTGAGTTTGGCAGGAGGAAGATGCCAAGTTGGCATTTGTGCAGGCTGGGATGCTGTGCCCATCTGCCTGGGATGGGGGACCCCGCCGAGGCTCACCTGGGGGAACGTGTCGGGGGAACCGGGGCCACGGAGCGTGCACCAGGCCGACCTGCAGCTGGGCTGAGAAAGAGGGAGACTCATCTCCTCCCAGTGCCGCCTTGTCCTGGGGGTACCGGCCCTGCCGAGCCGGGGAGCGAGTGCCTCCCGGCCGGCCGGCCGAGCTCCCCGCTCGCCAGCCCAGCCCTCCCTGCGTTTCGGCTGCGGAGATGCCTCCAGCGCAGCGGTTGAAGCGTTTCCTCCCGTGAGGAAAGGAAAGGAGGAGCCCGACCGCACATCGTCCTGCTGCTGCCAGTGCCCCGGCTCCGGCTCAGGTTCTCCGAGGAGCCTGGAGTTGCTTGGGGAGCTCGGCAGGTGCCAGACTCCCTCAGGGCTTTTTTTAACATTCGTTTTCCAGAGAAATTTCCCAGCCGAAACATCCTCCCCTGGGGAGCCTTGCAAAGATCCTTATCGCTCCGAGGTCCTTGTTGCGAGGAGAAGGAATGTGCGGGTGGTTCGTGGACAGGGTTGCGAAGGACAAGCTGTACAGTGGGGACTTTGCCAGGAAGCAAGTCTTTTTGGGAAGGAAGAGTGTGCCTGGAAAGCACAGCTCACTGTGCCGGGCCGGCATTCGCGAGGAGGGAGCTGCCTGCTGCAGATGATTCAGAGAAACTCTTCCCTTAAAGCGAGAAAAGAAGGGACAGGGTGTTGCACTACCTAAAAGGAGATAAAACCCCAGTAAAGCTGTGTATGGTTTCACAGTCTGCAAGAAACCCCGAGGCCCTGTGGCCTTTAATTCAGCAGGTAACACCTCTGCTTCCTAGCCAAAGCACAGCCGCAGCGCTTGCAGCGGTGCAGGGGTCCTGCAGCGGGGCTCCGCCACGAGCCGCCCTGGCCGGCGCGGGTGCAGGAGGCGATTTCCGTCTCTGGGTTAACGTGAAGAACAACTCAACTTGGAGACACTTGTTCCCGCTGCCAGAGAGCACCGTTCCAGGGAAAATGGTGCAGCGGGTAGTGGCAGCCAGTAACATCTGCTGCACGGTGCTTGGACAGTGTCAACCAGCATCACACCTCTGGCAGCTCGAAAGGTCCTGGTGGCCAGCAGCTCGGAGGCTTTCAGAGGGCTTGGATGTTTTTCTGGAAAAGTGAAATCTCAACAGCTAGGCTAGATAAGGAATGCGGCCTCTCCATCTCCTAGAGGTTAAAAATATTCACGACTCGGGACAGGCACCCAGGCCAGGAGGCTGGGTGCATGGAGGCACCCTCTGGGGGAGGCTGCCCTGCAGTGCTGCAGGGCTCTTGCTCTCGCTGGGGCTCACCGGTCCCCTGGGGAGGCTGGCCCAGTGCTGCTGCATAGCTGTCCCCATGAGCTGTGCCCAAAGGGGATAGTTCCCCATAGCTACATTCCCCTTTCCCAGCTTAAAACAGAAAATAAGGACATGCTTGAGTGTGTAGCCCCTTCTTGCTCTGAGGTCTGCTGCACTCTTGAGGCATCATCTGTCTGGCTTTGCTGTCTTCTAGGAAGGCAAGGCTATCCCAGGGAAGTGAAATTTTACCATCTAAAGAAGTTCAGATTTTTTTTTTCTCCTGTCAGCCCTGCAATCTCATGCTCCAGGCAGCCAGTATCTCCTGCGCTGCTAGCAGGCTCTCTTGCTCGGCTTGGTCTGTATTCCTGGCACGTGAGGTGGGCTTTGATAAGACCTCAAGGCTACTGTTCATGTCAGGCCAATACAAAACTTCCAGAGCTCTTCCCCTGTTCCCAGGTGACTTTCGTGAAACTTTTTAAACCTATCCTCCTGTAAACTCCCTGTCACTGTTGCTGAGTTCTCAAAGAAAGCCCTGAACTGGTGACAGGAGCTGGGAACAAGCTGTCCTGCTTGCTCTATGCCAATGGCCCCTACCACTGTGTAATCTCCTCCAGAGCTGATACTCTGCAGTCTGCACTTCATCAGGGGCCAGGCCAATGCCTGTACTGGTTTGTTTTGGTTTTCTAAACCAAACTGATGTGAACAGTGTCTCTTTTGGTTGGGTTTGTTCCAGTTTCTTTGATCAAATGCTCTTGAGTTTTGTATTTGAAACCACCAAATCTGGCCCAGGTTTGCCTTTAATTTGCGAATCCTGCGTTTGGAGCCGCGTGCTGCGAGTGTTGTCTTCACAGACAGACACTGATTTGTCAGGCCGTTTTTGGCAAGGATACTAAATGCTTCATGGCCATAGCAAAGAATCAAAACTATCTGATGGTCCTGCTAAGGATAAGCTCATTCTGCCTGGATGAACAGAGAACTATTACATGTACCATGTGCATCCAAAAACAGCGATTGTCATAAGCACAGCTCCTTCTGAGCAGCTTCCTTTTTTACTCATGGAAATGTTATTTCTGCCTCTTCCACATTTCCAAGAAGTTTCAGCTCTGCTGGAGCCGTTAGCTGCCATGTCCTCCCACTCACACTATTTTCTTTAATTTCCTTGGCCCCCTGCATCCCAGGTGGTGGTTTGCAGCCCCTCTGGGCTCAGGGTGCTTGAAGGCAGGGCTGTTTATTTAATGACTTCACTGTGCACTGGTCTTGCTGCCTGAGAGCATCTGCAGCTCCCCTCTTAAGCTCTGCTTTTAAAGGCAGATGCCTAAAGGGTGAAGATCCCAACTGCTCTTTTAAGGGACTCCAGTTGCAAGAGACCAAGTAGGAGCCAGGGAGACCCTGACCCTTGGCACCTCCAACCTTGACCAGGCAGGAGGGGTGTAAATGAGCGGAGCAATGTCTGCAAAGCCCATGTGATGGGAAGACCCAGGAAGCTGCGAGCCAGGAGCCTCTTCTTTGCATCTAGCCCCTGACCAGGCTCACACTGCAAATGCCTGGGCAAACGAGCCCTGACGCCCTGACCGAGAGGGAAATGCAGAACAGTGGGGTGAAGGGAAAAGAACCAGCTCTTAATGTAGTACAGGCTCCAGCTGGTTGCTGGAGGTCTCGTGGCTGTCAGGGTGCCTGCCCTTTCTGGATATTTGCACCCACACCTCCTCTCCCTTGCTTGGCTCTTTCCTCTTTAAAATGCGGAGAGGCTTCTTGTGTTGGGAAAGGGCACCCTCTGCCAGCGCCAAGTACGTCTGCATCGCTGCTGCCCCCTGCGAGTCACGGTGCAGGGGGCAGCGGCCCATGAGCGTCCATGCGGACCTTGGCCGAGCCGCAGGCCAGGGTCCACCTAGATCCGGTCTGCGAGTGTCGAGGGGGATTCAAACGGGGCACGGCGAAGGGGCCTGCTCTAAGGTGCTGCCCATCATAAGCTAAATCGGGTCCATTCCAGCCTGTTCTTGGCTGGGAGATGCTGGTGAGCCTAAAGGTGTTATCCCTGCTTTGGCACCAGCTGGAAGAGAAGCGGGACCTGAGGGCGGTGACCTCCTATGTCCCTCAATGGGTCTCTTCCTTCTCCCCATAGGATACTGGCTTGCGCTGTGTGCAGGGAACTCTTTCCTTCCTTTAAGTGGGCTTGTGAATGGGAGCGCTTGTGTCTGCAGGTGGGTCTGGCTCTCCTGCGGCAG